ATATATATATATATATATATATATATATATATATATATATATATATACATACATATATATGTAAATGATATACTTTTCACCTGCAGTTAAGTAATTCAACTGCAATTTTTTTTTTCATATAAATATTCATATTATGCACGGTGATCAACGCTGTCTGTATATTAAGAATGCAGAAAATAAATAATTTATGTAAATAATATTTTAACTGTACCATTAAATATTATTTGTTTACAATGTATTTTTTCAATATAAATTATTATTATTTTTTTATAGTTATATTTTATGAATTAAATATAATTTATAATTGAAGTACATTTTTGTACAACTGGCGTATTTATTGTCAGCCTTATTTGTTTTTGAAAATCATTAAGAACGATGAAGTTGGAGTGACCCGTAATGTAGTGAAAGTTTCAGTTTTATTAAATTTAAAATATAGGCGTTTCTCTAATAATTTTTCCACGATTTTCTGAGTACTTAAGTCGACATTTGAAAGTTCAGGAGTTCAAGTTTGAATTTTTTAATTAAAAACTTAATATAAGTTTAGCTGTTTTTACCGTTTTTATATACATAGAACATGTATATAGAACATGCTATAGAACTGTATGGACTGGAAAAAACAATATTTTACCATGAAAATATTCTTAGCACACACAGTTTTATAGACTAAATCAACTTTCAACTTAATTTCTTTTAATAATCATCGTTTAGAAAAGCGTATTTAAAAGATGTATTTCATTAATATAAAATAATATATTGCTTATAAAACTTTGTGCTGGTAATAAACAGAACATTTTTATGATTTAGGTTAAAAATTATTCTTTTTACTATCGTTTATGTCAATCGTGTTCAAAGCAGTCCATAGTTTTACTGGGATTTGATGTGTATCTCACCTCGAGTTCTGTTAGTTTTGTGAGTTTTGCTGCCCGTACTGTATTGAACTGTATTACTGTACTGAACGGTCGTTCGTAAAATATTAATAATAATTATATATTGATAATAAAGAGGATTTTAGTAGATCCGTTGATATACTCAGTTGTTAAAAATTCTCTTCGATTATATTTAGATATAACTAATAAAATATTATAGTAATTATTGTTTAATTTAAAGTGCGCTTGGTCGATTTATCCTATTTATATATATAAAATATCTAGTTTATATTTAAAAATATTATTATGTTTGCGTCAAACGTAAAATTTCAATTTTAATACTTAATTGTACATTTAACACATTTAATTTAAATAAGTTCGAATGATACATAATATTAAAAATGTTCGTATACCTACGCATTATGTATACTTATGTATATTTATATATTTTCACCGAATGTAGAATATGAAATTTAAGACATTATTAACATTATATAAAATATTATTGGGCTTATAATATATACCTAAGATATCATTATATTATTAAATATAGTATTTTGTTGTATTTTATTACCTTAAAAATTAATTATATTTTATATAAAAAAATACTTCATGCATGGACTTAAAAAAAATATTCAATAATAGTGTTTGTATATAAAAAAATTGATTTTTTAATATGTTCCATGTTACCATATATTTTATTTTGTTTTAATTTTAATTTTTTTGGAATAAACAGTTTTATTATTATATTATACTACAAAGTTGTAGTGTATAACTCACTATGATAACTTGTAATAAAAAAAAAAAAGTTTCCCGGAAAATCGTAAGCAAATATTTTTAGAGTTTATAATTTAATTTAAGAAAAAATGGGTAATTTTAACGATTTTCAATTAAGGGATATTAATTATTTTGTTACTGTTTTCAATTTCTTTTTTTTTGTAGATACTTGAAACATATATTGAGAACTTGTAATAGCATTATATAGTTATTATTTTTTAATTTTAAAAGTATTTAATGATATTTTTGCTATTATAGACACTTTTACCTAACAAAATTGTAATATTATTCTAGTATTTTAATGTTATGATTATAAAATATAACAATATGTGGAAATTTAAAGTGTAAATAATATTTTTTATTTACAGGCAAAATATTGATCTATACTAGTATAATTGGCAGTTTAAAAATATGCACGTAAATACAATTTTAAATCTTCTTGTGAATACTTATGAATGGAATGTGAATATATAATCTGGACAATAAAATTACCTCCGAACTATATAACTGTATCAATTCAACGCGTGAGTATTATATAATTTTATCAGAGTAATACTATATGAAGTGTCTTTAAAATATATTTTTAGTTAAAAATAATATAATGTGAAAGGGTATTTTTATCTGCGCTGATTTTGGAGTAATTTCTATGTCGTATTTTTGGTGTATTATATTACATTAGCGCGCATCTTTGACCATTTTAATAACTTATAATCATGCATGCGTATTTTATAGAACTATTTATATTAAGAAATAAAATTATTTATATCAAAAAAGACTACCTCAAAAAGATTTTATGTACGAACCGATGTTATTAAGATTCTTATTATTTTATGTTATACATGTATAGGTACGATACAATTATTTATATTCTACTGCAGTTTGAAGTAGGAATTATTTTAAGACGAGTACAATTAATATTTACAGAAACAATATTTATACATCATATGAGTTGGTGTATATTTTTAAGTATAGAGAGGAGCTTAAAATCTTCCGATATTTTTTCAGGTTCATCAAGTGTTACCACAGTAGTTTTTCCTCGATAGTTATGTAAATTGTAGTTATCAGAATCAATAATTTCTATATAATTAATTTTGTTGTTGTTTCGAAATAATTTTTCATTACCCGCTAAAAGAAAATACGTTTCAAACGGAATAAATATTACTATCAAATACGTTTTGATGTAATTATAGAAGTCCTATAAAATATGAATAACATTATCGACATCGAACAAATTGAAAATAAATATTAACGATTGATTTCGCGTGACAATATATCCTTTAGCCGACCCCCGGAACCTGAGTTAAGGCCTAT